GACATCTGAGCTGAGGCGGCATCAGGACCTGTCCCTGATGGCTTTCGTGATCTCCATCAACGCAGTGCACATCATCCTGTTCGCCTCATCGGACGCCTCGTAGTGCCGCTTCTGGGCGTCGACCTCGGGCTCAAGTATGACGCACTGCCGCTCCACGATGGAACACTGCTGCTTGTTTCCCCCCTCCAGAGTGTCCGCCATCAGTGCACCGTGCTTCTCCATGACTTCGGCAATGGCGTCGAACGTCTGCTGGCGCATGTTCTTCCTCTTGCCAGCGCCGCCCGTGCTGCCTGCAGTGAACCTGGACTCCCGCGCCGACCCTCCATCTTCGTTGTTGCCATCACTCGCGTCTCCCCTAGCGATGGATTCGCCTGCAACCGATGGCGGACGTTGCGTGTCCCCCGGCATCCGCACTTCTCCACGGGTGCTCGTGTCGGCGAGGTTGTCTGGGTAGATGGTTTTATTGCCTCGAGACATGTTGTCAATCTCAAGGTACAGTCGCTCATCCATTTGGAAGCTGGAACCCTCTTCCGTTCTCAATGCAGGCGTTAATTTGAAGAAGTTGTTCCCCTCAGAGGCGTTCTGGTATCGTTTCACCTTCTTATACTGTCGGAAGAGATTATTCCACTTCTTCCCGATGTCATCGGTCGTCCTCTTCACGCCCACCTCCACCAAACGCTTCTGCAGCTCCTGCAACTTTCATTCCCTGTTGCGCATGCGCCCGTAGTTGTGCGACATTCCATCGAAATGAGCTTGTTGATCCCGCTTCACCCGAGCGAGCTTCACCATCTCCTCAACACTCCAAGTCGGATGTTTGCCACCCTTCTTGCATGCACGAGCCTTTGATACTCGACCACCACGAGATCCCCGATTCTGTTGACACCCGCATCCACCCCTCCCTCTACCACGAACACACAGGGGTCGAATCTCCAACTCTTTCGCATCGTCCGCTTCGTCCTCGCAATGAAAATTCAAAGAATCGTCACCAGTCGCCCTCTGGGTATCGTCCGCATCGGCATCACTTCCAACACGCATCCTCGACACCTCGTTCGTTATGTTCTCAGCGGTCGTTCCGCGCATCTGTTGGCGACAGGAGTCCCACACGTACCTGCCAATTTCTTCCGCCGGGGTAGTGCTCGTGTTCGCCGCCGGTGCGGCCACCCTACGGCGTGGTGGGGGTGAAGGTGTTGTCGAGTGGGGGGGTAACACTGTCGGCGCCTTGTCGCCAGATGTTCCCTCACCTCGAGAGAAGGAGGGCGCCGAACGACACTCATCTGCGCTGCCACCCACCGGACACGACCTTCCGCCACGCCCCGCCCCTCCCACCCCATGCACAGACGTTTGTCCAACGGTCGTGGCGACGACGTGGCTCGATGCACAAGTGTTCGTAACCGGTGCAGCAGTTCGGCTTGACAAACCGAAATCCAAGTCCACAATCTTTGTGTTGCCTCCGTCGATACCCTCCTCCAGCATTGCCGAGAATGACTTGTGACTTCTCTCTGCCTCCCTTTGTCGGCAATAGCTCCCCATCCACTCTTCCGTAAATCATCTCCCCAGAGGCAGTGTGGGACAAATCCTCCAACCATTCCTCTTCCGGATCCTGCGGTAACGGCTGCTCGTGTGGTGGCAGATGATTGTACAATGTGGGGTTATACGCGGGTGTACGACGCGCTCCTACCGCCGGGTCTAGAGTGGAGAAGTCGATCACATGTCTGTGCAGTCCGCTGGAGATTTCCCGCCTTTCCATCGTCGCCTTCCTCGTTGTGCGTCTGGACCACGGACGACCTGTACACCACGAAAAACTCCAAATTTTGGTGTTGACGCATGCTCCACGACTATCCTTCAATCACGGATCCTTGAGCCCAAGGAACCTCACGAGGACCCCTTGAATCCAAGGACGTTTTGGCTGGGGATTCTGAGGAACCTACGGAAATCTCTCGGGAACGTTTTCACATTCATTCAAGGAATTTGGCGGATTAGGACGCGGTGTAACGACGTCGATTTCCTAAAAATCAGATTTCCAAGGAGGGTCTAACGAGGCCCTTAGAAAGAAACTTCTCATAGTTTTTTCAGATTTTTCCGGACTTTTTCTGAATTTCAGCCTATTTCGTGGGGTTCTTCATCGAATAGGCTAGTAATTGCTCATGATCCTATTCTCAGACAAAGCCGGGTAAAAGCCCCGGTATCTCAAAGTTTTTCTGTATATGTTCTCAAATATGTTTCATGTTTCAAATGGAACGCTGGGCTCGGTTCCCAGTATGTGCGGCTCCTCACAACCTGACAGGTGCTTGGCAGTTCTCCAGCTCTGAATGCGCCCCACTACTCTATCTTTTGTAATGGCGTCTTGTGTTGCCGAGCAATCTGACATTGCTATTTGCACTCCAAGGAAGCGCTCAGCCACATCCGTCGGAATTCACCTCATCCCCCAGTTTACTTCCAGTTGTTTTGACTCGGGTAAGAAGTAGACTGATTTACTAACGACCATTTCGTCAAAATGGACATTTTGTATTTTTTGAACGAAATTGAAACCGAGTTTTTTGGCCGAAAACTCGTCAAAATTTGTTGTTCCTAAGGGTCCAGCGTTTTACAAACGCTTGCCCCCCTGGCTGTACATGGACCTAGCTTGAGACCAGGTACCTCCAGGCAGTCCTGCCTGGAGGTACCTGGTCTCAAGCTAGGTCCATGTACAGCCGGGGGGTCTCACGAACAACAAATTTTGACGATTTTTCGGCCAAAAAACTCAGTTTCAGTTTTATTCAAAAAATACAAGATGTCCATTTTGACGAAATGGTCGTTAGTAAATCAGTCTACTTCTTACCCGAGTCAAAACAACTGGAAGTAAACTGGGGTATGAGGTGAATTCCGATGGATGTGGCTGAGCGCTTCCTTGGAGTGCAAATAGCAATGTCAGATTGCTCGGCAGCAGCAGAACCGGTCGTAGGCCTCCTCCAGATCCAGCAGCAGAACCACCATGTCGTTGTCCTACTCTACTATCAGCTCCTGTTCTTCTATTGCAGTTACCACATTCTCAAAGATTGACCTGATGCAGGCAAAAACTCCTTTCTCAGGTCCTACTAGTGAAGGGAGACATTCACCCAGTCTTCTTGCCAGAGTTTTTGCCAGAAGTTTGTAGGTTACATTTACCAGGCTGATCGGTCTCCAGTTCTTCACCACATTCTTGTCTCCTTTTTTGTACAGAAGTGTGATAATGCCTCTGGTCATCGTCCTTCCCAAAAGGTTCCCTTCCAAGGATTCGTTGTAGAGTGTGACCAAATCATCGCCAAGGATTTCCCAATAGGACTCTACGAACTCTAATGGCAAACCATCGTCTCCTGGCGCCTTCTTTTTTGCCATTGATTTGATTGTCTGCTTGCTGCAACTTTTCGACATTGATTGGCCTGTCTAAGTTGAGCCGCGGATATATTTCGAGTCTAACTGCCACATTGTCCCAGAGAGAGGAGTGTTGAGTGAGATCTTCGTCGCTTGATTGTCTAAGTAGGCCGTTGCATATGTGCCCATTTGATCCACTGAAGTAGCTGGCGACATTGCGCCAAGGTGGGGGTGCTTCAGCTACTGCATAAGAGCTTGTTGTCTTCTCGGGAGCAACTTTTAGAATATGCTCTTCGTCATACGGTCGCCACTAACAAGACCTTTTTCCTTCAGGATTGCACCTAGGATTTCATCTTCCTAACTTGCAGATCGCTCCATTCTTTGAGTCGATCCTCCCTTTCTTCTGCCCACACTAGCTCCGATACTGGGTGCAGTGCATTCTCCTCTCTGCCTCCTCCACTCTTCTTCGGCATTCCCCTTCTTCCACTATCCTCATGTGGGCATCAATTTTGGAAAATTCGTCGAACTTGTGCGAGGTGATTCGGATTCCTGTGTCCATCCACTTTGCGTGTGATACAAAGTTTTATGTGCATTGTGCCAATCCTCCCAAAAGGTTGTTAGCCATTGCCTCCATCTGTCATCGTTCAGATTATCTGTGTTTAATAATCTGAACCAACCCGACCCTCCTGGCATTTGAAGTCCCACCTTCGCTTCGAGCACGACAGGCTTGTGGTCAAATAGGGAGCCAAACTGTTCCGCTACTTTGATTACGATTTTGCTGACTTCCTGGGTCGCCAGAAAGAAATTTAATGTGCGTTGTGTCCCTCCACTGTTTGGTGTGTTGTCGTACCACGTGTAACCTGGGGGCCGGGGATTCATCTCACAAAAGGCATATGAGAGGAGCCAAGCTTCTTTCCACCTAATCAGTGCTTTTTTGTCCCTTTTTATATTCTCTACTCGGTCTAAATCCTTTCCTAGGTTAATTACTTGGTTCCAATCGCTACCATCCTCTCAGTGATTGGAAACACGTATGGGAGAGTCTCGAAGAATTATAGTCTGTCTAGTTTATCGTTCGGTGCGTAGATCAAACACCCTGGATTCTGACCCTATATGGACCTTGATCGAAACCCAGCGCCCCCATAAATCTGCATCATAGTCAACCAATTTCGCATCTACCCTGTTGTAACGACCATTTCGTCAAAATGGACATTTTGTATTTTTTGAACGAAATTGAAACCGAGTTTTTTGGCCGAAAACTCGTCAAAATTTGTTGTTCCTAAGGGTCCAGCGTTTTACAAAAAACGCTGGACCCTCAGGAACAGAAAATTTTGACAAAAATTTTGACGAGTTTTCGGTCAAAAAACTCAGTTTCAATTTCGTTCAAAAAATACAAGATGTCCATTTTGACTAAATGGCAGTTTTGTGTACTAGGATCACTATTCCTCCCGTCGAACCTCGTGCGGGGACCACACTTGGGGCCCGTCCCACCAATCACGCAATTGGGCGTTTACGAGAAGAGAGTTTTGTTTCCTGCAGGAAGATCACATCAATAGCCTCCTCATGCATCCCGTATTTAAGACGCCTCCCTTTGTGTCTTCCCCCTGAGTCTCCTAACCCTCTGATGTTCCAAGTTGCACATCTAAATCTTACCATTTTGCCCTGCCGCGTCGTGTTGCTGTTGGATTCGCCGTTCGCCTTCTTATGTTGACAGAGGTGGGATAACGGGTTGCGACCATCTGATCGACAGTATCCGTGCAAAATCAAGTGAGTTGAGGTTCCTTCCGATTGTAAGTTTCTTAATATTCAGCTTCTTCAGAAAGGTAGCCTCGATCCCAAGTTCCACCAACACGTTGGATAGGGTCTATGATTTGCCCCTTGTTAAGACGAAGCGGAAAATAGTCCATACCTACTTGGTTAATTCCATGTCAGTTCTCCAGGGAGATTCTGCTGTCAATCAGGGGCATGTAGTATTTTAATTTCCTTTCATTCTAAAGATCGACAAACAACTTTGGCAGGATATCTTTGGGGAAGAGACGGAAGAAGAAACGGTCCCCGTAAAATTGCATAATGCTTATGACTATCAATTCGGTGGTGGGGATTCCAACCATGGGGCAAGCGGACAAAGGTATATGACCTATGCTATTAAGTAGTCCTAGCACATAGGTTTTCCGATCATGAAGAACGCATACCAATGGTAGGAGGAATTTTCCTACCAGCTCTTCTTCTCCGTTCTCGGTTGTGCCGATTCCGGGTGCGATCTCCCTGTATATTTCTTCTTCACTTTCTTCGTCGTTGCCTCCGGAGCGGTCCATCTCATCTTGCTCTCTCTCTCTAGAGTATTGATCCACCACCGCCACGGTCCTCTCCAGTCCGTCTCCCCTGATTCTCTCCTGCTCTTCTTCTTCATCCTCTTCTTCCTCACTCAGCATGCCTTGGTCGTCGTTCCCCTCATGTACCACAATCGCCAATGTGCCTTGTTCGCATTTTTGTTCTTCCTCCTTAAACTTTGTTGTTCTACCTTGTTGTACTTGATTACCTGATGGGACGCTTGCATTGTGTGAGTGCGTTCTTCGGCGTGCTATCACGGTTCTGTTTGTTGGGCCATATTGGCCTTGAACTGCCTGTGCGCCCATGTTCACACTCATCGGGCGCTAAAGGCTCCACAGGTGGACAAGTCGAACTTGGCCACTGGGTCCGGCTCTGGTGTCGCGGCTACGCGATTGAACCTTGCGTAGACCTGATGCATGTGCCTGTTGTTGTATGACCACTCTGCCCCTGATTTCAGCTTCTACTGGATGCTTGTTCAAGTTGGTCTCTTGAATGGCTGCCACCTCCTCGTACTTGTTCCATGCTGCTCCCTGCTCTTCCATCCTCAGCTCTTTGTTGATCTCTTGCCACCGCTCTGATGTCCCACTCCCATGCTTCCTCTCTGTTCCTCTGACCTCTAGCGCTAAAGTTGTCGTCCGCTGCACCTTCTCCATTCTCCTCATCTGCTGCTTCCGCGATACGAGGACATCCGCTCGTTGCCGGTTGATACCACCATCGACATCTTTTGCAAAATGGTGTGTTCTTGGACACAAACTTGATCTTGACCTCCTCGCCATCATCCAACTTCATGGTGATTTTTTCTCTAAATCAGGCCTCCGAGGCCCTCACCAGATCGGACTTTAGATTCTTCTGCTTTGGCCTGGATCGGCTGGTTTGGGTGGATGCATCTTGATCACCGTTCCCATCAGTTTGCCGACCATATCTTCGAGAGGAAACATCACTCGCACTGGAACTCTAAGCGCCATGACCCAGAAGCGGGTTTCGTCCTCCA